ATCCGGAATCCGGAAACTGCAGCTACCATTGGTTTTGGTGGTCCCTCCCTGGCTTGGCCTTCAGGGACATGACCTCCACGCAGTCATTTTGGAGATGTGGACTTTGGGATCCAAAGGCCTGGGTTCAAGACCTGACTCTGTCACTAACCATCTGGCTCTGTGACCTGGGAAGTCCAGCTGACCCCTCAGAGCCTCCGTGCCTCATCTGCAAGCTGGGGTGACTACGATGTCTCCTACCTGGTAGCCCCTCTGGATTCTCACTAGGACTGGCTGGTGTGGGGAGTGTCACCATTCTCTGAACAAGACGACACCTGGGCAAGCATCAAGACGATCCCAGCGCTGTAGCAGCCTTCCCAGGACCCTCAGGGTACCCGCCTTGCCCTGCCTGGCTCCTGCGCCTGGGAATGGTCCACCCTCTCTCCTGCTTCCCAGACACGCAGCATCACTCTGTCAGCTTTGGAGAACATCTTGGAGATTTTAGACAGAATAATTTCCCTCTTTCTCTTGCACCTGTCTGTCCCGGAAAATTACACAAACCACAGGCTCCCCCCACGTGCACCCAGGCAGCCCGCCCACGCGCACCCACACCTTCTCCCTGCTGCACCCTCACGTGCCCACAGCCGATGTGTCCCTCATCAGCCAGCAAAACAGTAGATGGAGGCATGGGAGGAAGCAGGGCAGCTGACGTCCCCAACCTGAGCGATGCCACCACCAGGCCACGGGCCCCAGCTGAACCCTCTCACTGCGGGGCTCCAGCTGGGGCTAGCTCAGGAGCTGGGCCTGGGTGGTTGGCCACCCTCGGCCAGCCCTGCTGAGGCCTGGACCTAAGTCTCTGCATGAGGTGGCAGGTGGCAGTGACCCTGTGTTCCAGCTGAGGACTGAGGGTCACGTGCCTGTTGGAGGCAGAAACTAGATGACAACTGCCAGATTCTGTGTTCCTTCTGTTCTGCCTCCTGGACTTCTGGCCACTAGTGACCTAGAAGGCGAGAGAGCCAGGGGACAGGGACAGAGAGCTTCTGCTGCAGAGACCCACCTGGGGACCACAGGCTCCTCCTCCATAGCACCAGTGCCCCTGCAGCCCCTGCCCGTCACTGCTGGCCACTGCTGGGGCGGGACTCAGCCTGCTCCCCTTTCCCAGGGCTCAGCCCTACACAGCACACAACTCCAAGGTGGGCTACGGCCTTGCAGTGCCCAGAAAATGCAGGCGAACTCTGAGCACTCCAACCCCGAGAGTGTGAATCAATGTCCCAGGATGCAAGGCTTACCTGGGACGGGGGCGCCCTGGCCTCCAGCAAAAGCCAGGCTCATTGGCACACACCTGTAATTCCAGTGGCCAGGGAGGCTGAGGCAGGAGGATCTCGAGTTCAAAGCCAGCCTCAGCAACTTAGCAAGGCCTAAACAACTTAGCAAAACCCTGTCTCAAAATAAAATTTAAATAGGGTCGGGGGTGTGGCTCAGTGGTTAAGCACCCCTGGGTTCAATTCCTGGTACCAAGAAAGAAAAAAATAGCCAAGTTCTGCAAGAGGCCCCAAGGGACCCACATGGACCCCTCCTCCCACCACCACATAGGGAGCTGATGATGCGGAAGTAGGGAAATGAGGACTGAGGGGCAGTGGCCGAGGACAGGCAGGGCTCCGACCTGTTGTCTAGGATGATGGACTTTTCGTTCAGCGTTTGCTTTCCAGGGCTGCTCCTGGGGGCCCTGGGATAGGCTGAGGTCCGGTGCCCCCCCCGCAACATACCCACCAACCCACCCACTGGACCCTGCTTCCCTCTCGGAGACGGAGAGGCGGAGGCTTCCCGGGTGCAGGTGCGGCTGCAGGACCACAGAGCCCTCCTGGAGGAGGCAAGGCTGTGGGAGGGAAGAGCCCTCGTTGTCAGGAGAGCGCGCCAGCCCCTTCTGCACGGTTCCCACAGCGCCCTCGCCCTGGCTCTCCCACTGTCCCCTCCCTTGCGTCTGCCCTGCAGCCCCGCAGGAGCCAGAGACAGCATTCTAGGCAGCAGGGGGCTGGCCTCAGGCGCCAAAGAGAAGGGACGTCTGTCGGCAGTCACCCAGAGATGGGGCTTGGGGGACCCGGGGCCAGCCCGGGGGCTGAGCTCGCCCTATCCTGTCCAGGGCCATAAATATGCTGTGCTCTTTGACCCAGTCATCCCACTGTTTGGAATTCCTCCCAGAGACATAACTGCAAAGGGAAAAATAGCTATACGTGCACAGCTGTTTATAGCAACGTTATTTATAAGAGTAAAAGAGCGGAGCCGGCCAAAGCGCACTGCACGCTGAAGGAAGGAGTGTCGACAGGCGGAATATTTATTATACAGCCCAGAAAAATGGTCAACTTGGAAGATCCTTTGTACATGGACGTGAAGGCAAGTGAGAACCCAAACCTGAACCTTCTTGCAGGGGCAGAAGGTGACGACTGGGGGCCCCTCCCGGCCACGCATTGGCCCCAGTGCTGGAGAAGGGCAGGGTGAAAGGGACCAAGACCTGCCCTTGGGGAGGACAGGAGGGAACACCCCAGAGACCAGCCTCAGGGTAAACCATGAACAATAGACAAAACAACAGGCAAGAACTTCCCAGAGGAGGGGATAGGATGATGAGTTTCTGGGCCGCCTCTGTCTCTTACTGCCCATGGAGCTTGGGCTCTGGTCACCGGGAAGAGGTCCAGCAGAGGTCCACGGGCTCCCGAGGCAGGAGTGAGGCCCAGGAGTCCGGCCAGAGCTGCGGTAGGGCATCGAGCCTCAGCCACAGGGGGAGAATCTGTCTGGCTGCCCTCAGGAAGCCCATTAGCCCTGGGGGCCTACGGGTCACCTGGGGAGAAGCTGTCACCTGGGGAGTGAGCTGCGGTCTCTGCTAACCTGTGAGGTAGGGGCCGGAGAGTGACTGCTTCTGAGGGCTGGAGGTCTACCCTGCCCAGCAAGGCCAGATCTGCAGGGGGAGACATCCTACGGTGGGCTGGAGGGAGGAGTTGGAGACAGAGGTGGCAGTGTGACTGCTGGCCCGCATCCTGCCCACTCCATGAGGTCCGTAATACAAGAGGCAGCCACTGGGAAGCAGTGCCCTCCCCAGCTCCGTCCTGGTAGGAGGCTCTCTGGAGGCCCATCCATGGTCCCAGAGCTGAGAGGGAGCATCCTGGGGAGGGGGACACAGAGGGAGCATCCTGGGGTTGGGGGCACGGAGGCAGAGCACTGCAGGAGGCCCCGTGTGCAAATCCTGTGGCCAGTGCAGGGAGCAGGGAGGCCACTCTGCCCCAGGCAGCTAAGAGACTCCCAGCTCCCAGCCGTGGGAGGCACCAGGCAAACACAGGAGCCGGGGAGCTAAACAGCCATTAGCAGCGATGGAGAAGCCGATTATCTGCACGGCTGTCAGGAGCATCTCCCGCCCCCTCGCCCCACAGCTGGGGGGGCCCAGCTCACAGGCCTTCCCAGAGTCACTGCCTGCCCAGGGACGCCCCAACCGGGAAAGGAAGCAACAGGCTGGACATCTGGGCTACTCTGTCTGGCTTTAGCCTTGGGGACCTGGCTCTCCACCTAGGGACAGGGACCTGGAGGCCTGGACCTGGCTCTCCACCTAGGGACAGGGACCTGGAGGCCTAGAGGCGAGGCCACCTCTGCATCTGCCCCCCCCCCGCCAGCTGGGGGTGAAAGTACAACCATCGTGCAGGGACATTGGAGGGGTCTCATGAGACAGTTTGTCTGAAAGCACTTGGCAAGTGATAAGGGAGGACAGGACACTGCAGTGACGATCCTTCTGTCACAAATCCAGCCCTTGGGGACTTGGCTATCTTTTCCTTCACACAGGGAGGGCGGAAGGGTGGCTCAGGGAGGCTCTGCCACCTGACCCCGTGTACACAGCTGCCCACAGAAGTGGTTCCCGCTGCAGGAGCCAGAAGGAAGGTCAGAGGGCCCCAGCTCTGCCGTGACGGGGGTCTCCAGGCCCCGGGGACAGCACTGCAGACCAGCTCTGCGGCTCTGAGGGATCACGCCCAGGCCGCTGGGGACCTGGTTTTGTCCCTGGCTGGGGCTGCTGTCCAAGCAGTCTGAGAAATGAAGGTCTCCAGCCAAAGTCGGCCTCTTCACCTCTGGGGGGCTGCACCCCTGGCGAGGGAAATGGGGGCCATAGGCAGCTAACGGGGGTGTGCCTACGGAGGGGGAAGGCACGTGGCAGGCCACCCCTCCTGTTCTGTCGGAGGCCCTCGGAACCTGGCACCTCCCATGATGCTCTGAACTTGACACCCACAGAGGTCACTGGGGAGGTGGGACAAAAATCACACCCCGTGGGGACCGGGGAGGCGACTCACAGGACAGTGGGGGAGGGGAAGCTTCTCTGGAGCCTCCCTGGCAAAGTGAAGGACGGGTGCTGGTGACTCAGGGACAGTTGGGGAGTACACAGGGGAGGGAGCTCAGCCCTTGAAGCCACCATGGTCTGCACCAGGCACAGTGCCTGAGGGGTGGCCTGCCACGGGCCTACCTCTGGCTGCTGGGCTTCTCCTCTGCTACCGGGGTGGTGGATAGGCTCCGTCCCCCCTGCCACTGCCAGGCTGTGGGAAACAGGGGGACGAGGACTGAGCAGCAGGGTGCTGAGCCCCGGAATCTCACTTCCAGCTCTGCAGACAGGACAGAGAGGACGGGTGGTCCCTCCTGCAGTGAGAGTGGCCCAGCTCCCTGCAGGCTCCCGCGGGCCACCCAACCTGCCACCCAGTGTGCAAAGCCCTGGTGGAGCAGGGGGGAAACAGCACAGCTCGAGCAGGGCACCTCTTGCCCAAAGTGGGGTGGCATGGCCGTGCCCTGTCCTCTGGGCCCACGGCAACCTGCCCACCCCTGCAGCCTCCGCCCAGCCCTCTTCCCCTGACATCCATCCCGTCCATCACCAAGTCTCACCAGCTGCTGCTCCCAGCCCTGAGTGGCCCGGCCAGCCCTGGGGGGGCGGGGAACCAGCCACAGGGGGCAGGCAAGGCCGGGCTTCCTCCCCCCCACACCCCTCCCGTCCCTCCTCCACTCACTGGCCCAAGAGAGGCTCTGGAGGCTCCATGGCGTCAGCTCCACAAGCAGAACTGCCCCTGGGCTTGTTCCCCGTGGTCTGGCTGTCACAAAGCTGGGGCCATCTAGTTCTGAATGTCAAGTGAAAGGACAGGTCAATGCTTCACCCGGAGAAGGGCACGCCCGCCAGCCCCACTTCTACCACTGTCCCCACCCAGGCCACAGCCCTGGCCAAGCAGAGGCGGAGGCCCAGGTTCAGGGAAGGGCGCAATTGACCCCGGCCACCTAGTGAGGGAGGGGCAGGGGGTCTTCTCCCCACTCACTACTGAGAGCCTAGAGGCCAGAGAGAAGCCAGGAGCCCCAGCCAGACTGCCTGGGGCCACACAGGAGCCCTGCCTTAGCAGGGTGTGGAGGTGACAGCGTGAGGAGAAGGCAGGCCAGTAGCTTTCTAGGGAGTCATGGCCCTGGCCACAGGGCAGGACAGACAGACTCTGCCCTTTAGTACACCATCTGCACTGCTCTCCAAACCAGCCACGACCCTAGGCCCTCACAGCCGCCTCCTCCAGCCTGGGACGTTCCCAGGAGCAAATTCCCACTCCCGCTCCAGCCAGCATGGTCAGGGAACCAGGCCAACCTCAGCTCTGATCTCAGCTCCAGCCGACTGTGTGACCTTCGGTAAGTCACTTTCCCTCTCTGTGTCAGGCTAGCTCTGGTCTTCAGAATCACCCGGGACTGAAGAAAACGCATGTTCTTGGCACATCCGTAGCGGTTCTGGGTCGATGTGTGTACTTAGAAACGCCTGCTGCTCGCCCTTTGGGGACATGGCCATGAAGGATTGTGTGTGGCTGGAAGCACCCTGTGGAGTCCCTGGATGGACCATATCACTGCTCTGGACCTCGGTCTTCTTCCCTATGAAGAACCCTCAGAGAATCCTGTGGGTGTTAACAGGTCCCATGGGGATGACATGGTGACGGTGCCTGGCCACATGGCCAAGAACTCCAAAGGGACAGGGCTCAGGGGTTCAGCTCTGCCATGAGCCACAGCTGGACAAGACGGAGGTCCGTTTTCCCCTGGTCTGTCTGTGGGCAGCCTGGGGCACTGGGTGCCCTGACCCACGAGGGAAGGCCTCTCTGCGGTGGACAGAGCCCCTGCCCCGGGGGAAGGGGATGCTCCAGCAGAAGCCTGGCCTCCCTTCCTGCTGCTCACACTGTCAGCTGTGAGCAGGCCTCTCCGGGCCTCAGTGTCCTGTCTGTGAGGTGGGTGTGATGATACACCCAGTCCAGAAGAAGCCCATGAGTAGCTGGGCATGGCCATTCCCAGGGACCCTCCTCTCCCTTCCTCCCTGCTGGTGCAGGCAACCTTCCATGAGAGAAGGTGCCCAATGTTGGCTGCTCCAGTCCTTCCACAGCGAAGGCATTACCCTGGGCTCAATCCTAGATGAGGTAAGCTGGGAGGAAGAGACTTCCATGAAAAATACCCCAACGCTGTTTTTGGATATACGAGGGTATGTTGTCCAGTGCTGTGGCAGCCCTCTTGTGACCTTGAGGAGGCAAGCCTAAGGAAGAAATTGTTCTTGATCCTAACGTTGAGCTGCTAAATTAGCCATCCCTGGCAGCCCTCTGGCTCTGTTAATAACATCATAAGACATTGTATGCCTTTGCACACTTTGGCTGGTTACTTACAGTCAAAGCATCCTAACTGACACAAAGGCTCAGCATTATTGGGTACCCACCTGCCTGGCCAGCCTCATTTTCCACCACTGCCCTGCTGAAGCATCTCTGGGTGACGCTGCTTCCTCTGTTTGAACTGCTTCCTGGGAGGCCACCTTGGCCTCCTCTAATTGGTGAACTCCTGTCCTGGGAACAGGTGCCCACAGATCCTCATGGCCTGGCTGTCCTCCACCCAGACACCGGAGAGGACACCTGAGGTCCCCAGCTGCTGGGGACAGAGCCGGGCTCGGCACCCCGCAGGGAAGCTGGGTGCCCTCCAGAGCCTTAGACAGCCACTCAGATCCACATGACAAGACGGGAGGGAGGCAGGGCAGGGAGCCGCACAATGCCACCGCCAGCCACTGAGGAGGGGGTGGCATAGAGCGGGGAGCGGCAGGATCCCGCCCCAATCACGAGGATCACCCCTGCACACGTCCCTCAGCCTGGGGACCTGGGGAGGTGAGGGGACAGGCAAGGGAGGGAGGTCTGGCCTCAGCCTGGGCAGAGGCGAGGCCCCTTGCGCTGGGGCTCAAGTTCACCGAGCTCCTGAGAGCCTGAGAAAGGGGCTTGGGGGCGGGGAGCCTGGGGTGGGGGCGGTACTTCGCCCTTGTGGGGCGGGGATCAGGGTTGAGTAGAGGTGGCTGGGCTCTGGGTGCCCCTGGAGCCCCGCTGTCCTGGCTGCCGGCCTCCCTGGGCCCAGCCCTGCTGGAAGCCAGCAAGAGAGCTCTCTGCAGGACTGCGCCCGCTGCCCACGGGGCTTGCCTTCCCCAGGCCAGCGGAGCCCCGGGCAGGGGAGGGCCGGCAGGCCAGGAGCCACAGCCACAGCCGCAGGCTTGTTTTTTATTTTGTTTTATTTTTTAGTTGTAGTTGGACACAATACCTTTGTTTCGTTTATTTTTTAAAGATTTTTTTTAATTGCCCAAGAACGTCTCTTTGTTACAAATTTAAAAAAAAAATATTCGAGACAATGCTAATGTATCTCTTACCTCCCCCCTCCCCCAAATAAATTTCTCCCCAAAGGTAACTCCTTCAGGTAGTATTTTTTTTTTTTAGTATTTTTTATTTTTTTAATAAAGATGATACATAACTCTCCAAATCTCCTACACACACACACACACACTTAAGCAATATCGAATGTCTAAGATGAAATGTTTCCTTCTCCCAAATCATCGATGATTTCTCGGCTCTTGCCCTGCATCTTTTGAACTTCCTATTCAGGATGTAGATATCGGCTGTTTCTTGGTCCCCGGATGTGTCATCCTAACTCTCGGGGTTCTTATGACTTCCCCAGCATTGACACCCCACCAGCCAGTCCTACCGTGGTGCCATGGTGGGTTCAGTCTCCCCCAAGAGGGCTGATGCCTGGGGTCTCTTCTATTTGGTTCTCAGCCAGGGGACAGTGCAGACCCTCAGTCTGGGGTGCACAGGGGTGTCTGCCCACCCCGTCCACCCCGTGTGTTCAGCAGGGCTGGGCAACTCCTGCAGGGACCCTGCACCAGGCTCCTCCCCTGGAACTGGGGGGTTGGACCTGGTCCTTCCGACCTCCCCAGGAATGCATCCTGGTGGCTGTCCTGGTGGCTGTCCTGTGGACGTTCCGACCTGCACACTTGCCTTGCACCTTGTCCCATGGCCCTATTCCCTCCCAGTACCCTGAGTCAGTCCCCAGGCAAAGACTCAGCCCAGGGGACCAGACAGGAGAAAGCCTCCAGGTCCCATCCCCCTGTCCTGCTGCTGCTGCTGGTGGTAGTTCAAAAAACAAAATAAACACCAAAATATAAAAAATAAAAGATAATAAAAAAATTAATATTTCTAGGATGCGAGTCTCCAAAGAGCAAATAGCAAGAAGCTGCTGGTGGAGCCAAGTTTGGCAGAGGCAGAGGTGGCTTTGTTCCTGGGAGGGGCCTCTAGTTCAAGCGCATTCCCTGGGGACCCGGCTGGAGCTCCCTGGTGGAGCTGCCCAGCATGGAGGCCCTGGGTCCTGTCCCCAGCACATAAACACAATTCCCGGAATGCGACCCCATGTGCTTTGCTGGTAATTAAAGTGGCTGTTCATGAGTGTTTCCTCTGCCTGTTTCCCTTGTTTGTTTGTTTGCAGCGATCGCTGGGGTTTCTGAGTGACAGGATGTTACCACGGAGGTCGGAGAGCTGCCCAGCCCCGGGAAGCCTAGAGGGTCAACCAGCCAGGAAGCCAGATCCTCCCGGCTCCCAGGGCGATCTGCTGCTCAGATCCTATGGGTCAGTGTGGGGACACCAAAGGCATGATCAGATGTGCCTTCCTCTATTGCTCCTTACCCAGGACACATGTAAAAACAGTATCCCACCCAAAACAGAGGCGAGAGTCACCCTTGAACCGTGCCCAGTCCTGTCACCAGGTGGTTTCATAAAAGCTGTCAAGGCTCCACACGCAGCTGTAGGCTGAGGAACACCAGGGAGGAACTGGGTCAGAGAATGGGGGACACTGAGTGGTCCCCAAGGAGAGGAAAGAGCGTAGGGGTGAGGCCAGTATTCAGGTCTCTGTGTTGGAGTGTGGTCAGGGTCTGTTGTGCAGGTTGGTCACTGCACTCTTTGCTTCTTGTCTCTGTCCCTCTTCTCCTGCTGTGCCAGTGGGAGGTCAGTCACCCCCTCTGGTAAGCAGGACCATCATGTGGGGGTGGGAGAGGGCAGCTTCCCTAAATGCAGGTCCAGCCCTCCTGCAGCCCCTCCACTACACCTCCAGCTCAGCCCCCGTCTCCTCCTACACATACATCCATCTTCTCTGCACCCCCCGACCCCGGGGTGTTCACAACACTCCATACTGGTGGCCGCTACCATGCTTGAGAGAGGCCGACAACCCTCCACACTCTTGAGCCTGCGATCCACCGGGAAAGATAATAGCAAAGAAAGAAAGAGGTGTGGGTGCTCAGCTGTCCAGGGCGGCCAGGGCAGCAGGCACCCGGACTTGCACCGTCTTCCAGAGAACTGAGGACCCATGCCCGCCCCTGGCAGAGCTGCCTGCCCAAGGTCCCCGCCGCACCTGAGCCCCTGCTGATTCCCCAATATCCAGGCTCGCTGCCGTGCTGGGGATCAGGATCTGGCTGCGCTTCCCCCCAGGTCACCCCCTTCCTGGGCTGCAGGGATGAATGGAACAGACCCTGTCAGGACTAGAGTCAGTCTCCACCCACAGCCCAGGGGAGCACTGTGTCAAGAAGGATCCTGATGCGTGGGTTTGGATTTAGGGGGATTCCCCTGAACCACTCATAGGGTCCCATACAGAAGCAAACTGTGGCCCTGAACCTTTGCCTGGCCTCTGTACCTGCAGGCTGCTGGCCCTGAAGTGGGTCATACAGTAGAAGAAACAAGGGGGGGGAGGGGAGGAGGAGGAGGAGGGTTGGGGGAGGGGGGGCTGTTCTAAGGCTGCCGCTGGGCTCTGGAGGGACAAAGGTGATCTGGACACATGGGGTCAAATGTGGCCAAAGATTGTCCTGACCAGACCTTGATGGTCCTTTGCTGCTACATGTGAGCTCTTTGCTTCTGGACGGTCAGCTTCTCTCCTGGGAAGCCTTTCCCAGGGGGAGCAACACAGCCCAGGGCCAGGAGAGCAGGCGGGTGCCTCCCAGGGGGGCCCTGCACCCCTGCCACCCGCTGGTCCTTTAGGGAACTGTGTGTCCCCGTGGCTCTGTGTCAGTCAGCTTGCTATCAGAGCCATGTCCTTCCCCCCAATGGGCTTTGTTCTATTTAATTTGGAAATAAAACCACTTGAAACCCCCCAAGCTGGAGAGGAGAGGGGGGCTTGGGACTCTCACTGGGGATGGCTGGGAAGCCAGGGTGAGGTTCTTCTAGGGCTCTCAGGACCCCAGCCTGCTGTCACTCTGTCACTGGGCAACGTCCAGTGCTTCTGCAATGAGGGGACAGTGCCACAGGTCCACATGGCTGTGGGGAGTGGACACGGTGCCCTGCTGGGTTCTCCTGCTTCTCCAGGCCCAGGCAACGATCATCACCAACAACTGTGACCTCGGCACCGGGAGCCAGGCACTGCCAGGTGTGGGGTGCCGGGGACCCGACGGACTGGCCTGTGCTTTCTTTTCTCTCTCTTTTTTTTTTTGGTGGAACCTCGTGCTTACAGCATGTTAGGCAAGTGCTAACCACTGACCCATTATTCCTCTTGACAGTGGAAAAGGGAATGCTGAGTGTCTTGTGCCGGATCTCTCAGGTGAAGTAAGAGCATTAACAGTAATGTTAATGCCAAGCCAGGCGCCGGTGGTGCCCTGGTGCCTACCTGTAATCCAGTGTCTCGGGAGGCCGAGGCAGGAGGATTCCAAGTTCCAGCCCAGCCTCAGCCACTTAGCAAGGCCCTAAGCAACTCAGTGAGACCCTGTCTCCAAATTAATAAATAAAAATAAAAAGGGCTGGGGATGTGACTCAGTGGTTAAGCACCCCTAGGTTCAATCCTTGGTACCAAAAAAAGAAGACTCCTCATTAACTGAGCATTTTCTGTGTCTCGGGCTCTGTGTTCTAAACCTTCACATGCACAAACTCACTTACCTTGCTATGCAGCTCAAATGCCCAGGTCCCCACCTCCTATTGACCTGGGTTCCTCTGCCTCTGTAACTTCTCAGCCCTCAAAATATGCACTAGAAGGTACTAGAAGGATCTAGGTAGAAAGGGCTAGGACACTCAGCCTTTGTTTTAGAAGCAGCCCAGAGGTCAGATAATGTATCCAAGATGAACCAGTGAGTTAGGGCCACAGCAGGGCCCTCCTTCTCCCCTGGACCCTGCTCCCTCTAGTCTACCACCCGTTGCTCACTGTTGCCTGCCCTGGCCCACAAGTATGTCTCTTCAGCCTGCTGTGCTGAGATCTCACTGTTACAATGGCTTCTGGGTGGTAGATAATCTGCAAGCCCTTTTAACCAGGATTTAAGTGAGTATCGGTCCCTCACACCTTAGTATGAATTAGCTCCCTCCATTGCTTTCCTCAGGGCTAAAAAGGCAAGGGCACTGGTGGGATGGGAATTTTTAAGAAAAGAGCAGAGAGTGATAGCTGTGGGATCTTCTAGCTTTGTCCAGGGAGGCAGAGGTCCAAGGCAATTGCCATGGTACAAGAAGGAAGCCTGATATCAAGTCTAGTTTCTGGAGTTCACTTGCTCTGAGCTCCAGGTCCCATCCCTGTGAAATGGTGACAGAGAACGGGCTGACTCGGGAGTCCCTTCCAGACGGATGTTCTGGTTTTCCTCTCCACAGGAGAGGGGTCCAGGAAGCCGGTGGACAGCCTGCCAGCACCCCAGCCCCAGGCCCAGGACCGGAAGGCCTGGCTTCTGGGCCCCTCCTCTGACTGAC